CCCTCTCCTCCCCTGGACACATCTACAATGGAGCCTCGATAGGAGCATATGGTCGGGAACGGATCCTCGTGTACCGACTCGTTTAGGATTGCCAAATATATATATACATTATCGAGAATGCCATGTACCTACAATCCGAACTCCACCCTTCAGCATCATCAGACCACCGTCTGTCTCGCTCCTCCCCCTTTCCCCACATTCCCCACCTCTCACTGTCGCACACACACACACAAACACACACACCCGTCCTCGAATCTTCCTACCGAGCAGCCAGATAAGGTTATCCTCGTGCCCACCCCTGCCTGCCCCTCTCGCTAGTTGTGCGAGATCGGCGGTCCCCCGGCCCGAGTGCACAAAACGGGCAGGGATCCACTGCTAAGCTTCATTGACAGTGTGGGGACCCTGCAGCGACAACTTCCACTTGCGGCCTGCCAGCCCATAGCGACGGGTCGGTATAGATGGATGTGCGACTGGCGGACTGCACCTTCCTTTCTCTCCCGGCGGCACGATAGGAGTTGAGATGAACTACACACTGACATACATACATACATACATACATACATACAACTACAGTATGTGCTCTGCTCTGCCGCTTGTGTGGATGCGGTGGTACATTCATTCATTTACTTGCCTTTGTGCTCTGGTATGTTTATGTTGTGGCCACCCATCATCACGCGCGCTAGCACTTGGTGGCTTCCCGGTGCTCCGATGCTGTCCTACCAGTGCTCGTCTTTCTTTCTTTCACGCATAATGGCTCGGATAGAACAATGGCTGCGCTGCGAGCTGTCCCTCCGATACGTTCTTTGTATTGTGGGCGAACACACATACATAAGGAATAGAGATATCCACTTTTTTGTTTTTTGTTTTCTGGATACACACAGGGGGAGAAAGAAATATACTTAATATCTAATTTAATTTTTTTTTATCATGTCGGTGGATCTCGAGTCGCAGAGATCTAGCATCTCGAGCTATCACGATGAACTCAGCAAGAAGGAGGCTGGCATACTCACAAACGTCGAGGAGCTCAAGGACGAGTCGGCAGAGATCAAGACTCTTCTTGACGGCGCAGCCCATAGGACTAGCAAAAAATGGTTTCTGGCTTGGGCTACTGTAAACACATTAGCAACCATAGGCATAGTTAATACCCCCAATACCCAATACCCAATACCCTACCCATACCCAAACCAAACACCCAGCTAACACCCACAGGTCTTCACCAACAAGCGCATCTTCCAGCACCCCTCCTTCGCCGCCTCCCAAACCTCCTTCGCCTCCTTCCACTTCCTCTTCACCACCCTGACGCTCCTCCTCCTCTCCCGCCCACCCCTCTCGCTCTTCACCCCCTCACGCACCCCCCTCACCACAATCCTCCCCCTCGCACTCGCAATATGCCTCAACGTCATCCTACCCAACCTCTCCCTCGCCCACTCCTCAATCCCCTTCTACCAGACCGTCCGTATCCTCCTCACCCCCCTCGTCGCCCTCCTCAACCTCGCCCTCTACCACACCACCATCCCCATCCCCGCCGCCCTCGCCCTCATCCCCGTGTGCGCCGGCGTCGCCCTCACATCATACTCCGACACCCACACCGCCCACCCCACGCGCACGTCCCCCGCCGGCGCCGCCTACGCCTTCACCGGCGTGCTGGCGTCCGCGCTCTACACGGTCTGGATCGGGTCCTACCACCGCCGGCTGGGCCTCTCGTCCATGCAGCTGCTGCTCAACCAGGCGCCCGTCGCGGGCATGCTTCTGGCCGCGTGCGCGCCGCTTGTGGACAATGTGCCGGCGGTGGTGGTGGAGGTGGAGGTGGCCATGTGGTGGCTGGTGCTGCTGAGCGGGGCGCTGGCGAGCGTGGTCAATCTGTCGCAGTTTTATGTGGTGAGGGAGGCGGGCGCCGTGGGCAGCACGGTGGTGGGCCATGTCAAGACTTGTGTGATTGTGATGATGGGGTGGTGGGTTGCGGGCGGGGTGGAGGCGGGGAGTGTGGTGGGGGTGGGGGTGGCGATGGGTGGGGTGGCGGCGTATTCGTGGGTTGTGGGGAGGAGGTAGGGGTTAAGGGGGGGGTGGTTTGGGGTTGGTGGTTGGTTACGTAGATGTACTAGTGTAGGAACCTGGATTTCTGCATATACACCATATTGGCAGAAATACACATATTGTTAATAATCACCTGAAGGCCTTAGCACTTGTGGATACACCCATATTACTACCAACACTCTATTAGCTCAGGCACTCAAGTACAGCCGATCCGATACAACAACAGATCTATGTAGATAGAGCTTATGGGGTTTTTTTTTTTTTTTTTAATTTTGCGACTCCTCATATGATACGTATAAGTACATGTATTGGCTAGTAGTAGACAAGAGTAGGACCGGAAAGCCTGATCGAGGAGTTGTTGCCCCCCCCCCGTGAAATTCGAACACCTTATTTATTATATTATATTAGCAAAAAAAATAAAACTACTCTTACAAGCATCCACCATCGCCAAACGCCAAACACACCAAGAAGCGGGGGCTCGGGGGTGGGGGGGTAGACGCACGATACCCATACCCCCGCGCCTGCCCCTGCGCTGTGGTGGGAGCGGCCGAGTGATTATCCATGACCGGGACTTCCCCCCCCCCCTCCCACCCCACCTTCGGACCATCCTGGGCCCGCGAGTACTTACCAATGCGAATGCGCCCCGCGCGTATACTAGAATCCAATTCCAAGGTCCAAAAACCAGTACTCCCCTAACAACCCGCTTCGCTACGGGTGAGGGGCTGGGATAGGCTGCTGTCAGTATACTTGGAGGAGCATCCTTGCTCCGGACAGCCGGCTGGGCCATCACTAGAGATTGTTGCCGGGATGTATTCGTGGGCCGTTCATGGGGGGGGGGGTTGGATACTGGCGGTCGTGCTGGGGGTGTATGTCCGGACCATGGAGCTCGTTTGTGGCCCGATGCGGGGGCGGGGCTGGAAGCGCGCCGAACTCATAGTCCGGAGGTTCCGCGGTCAAGACGTGGTGCTGCTAGAATATCTTTCTTCCCTTCCCCCCCCCCCCCCCCTGGTAGCTGGGTTGACTGAAGCTGATGGAGGACCTGGCATCTACATGTATCTACAGTACATGTAGTTAGTTGTCTGGCGTACATATTTTCTACGCTAGAGGGGATTTGGAGATTTGGAGTAGACAACTACAAAGGCGCTGCGGAACGGACCGAGTGATCGCTCATGACCCACCAACTCAACCCACCCAACGCAACGCAACCCAACCCAATGTAACCCAGAGCGGCCCACGTTCACCGCCGTGATCACTTGCCAACCACCACCTATAAGGAGGGCCAACCCAGTAAGCCTGTTGGTTTTTGTTTCTCCCATGGTAAACGTACACAAGATTGCAGTGTATGGAGACGCTTGGCTCCTGTTGCACATATACAGCATAACTATAAAAGGGCCTAAAGAAACCAAAATCTCGAAGGCACTCGTGGTGAGATTAGGCAGCTACGATCGATCGCGACTATAGCTTTAGTATTCAGGGCAGAACCAATCACCGATGTGTCTGTCTGTGTGCCATGCATGGGCGGAAGGGTGCGTGAAAGGAGGAACGGCCATGGCCTGGCCAGAATGTAGGCCAGGTTGCGAGCCCACGTGCTGCGTGGTGAAGCTTAAATGCTCAGCAGGCGCAGCCCCGTGACCACACATACAGCAGCCCTAGCACCTTTCACACCTTTCACTTCCTAGCCAAGGTTGCCCGAAAGCATAGACAACATTCATAGCAGCATGGCGCGCAGTGGAAGCGCGCCGGTGGTCGGAACGTGCTGCTGCTAGCACAGATTAAATCTTTTTTTCCTTCTTTTTTTTTCTTTTTTTTTTTTTTTGCCTCAGTTTTATTTTGAAATTGGCAATATTTTTGCGACAATATTGCAGAAATTTTCATACTATGAGGGCCCAGGCGGGCGAGCATTGTAACACATGGTGCGAATTCTCAGGCTGTCAAGTACACCTGCAAGCAATTCCCATGGACACATTAGGCAAGATTGAGATACCCAAACGGGTGTCTCGAGCTGCCTAACGGAGTACGTACATGTAATCAAGTTCGACTTTGCAAGAGCCGCCCACGGCGTGTTGTGTTGTTCGATTGGGCCTAGTAGGATGAGAGCTGCTGTAATGTTGGGGGGAAGTCAAAACACATGTAGTCCCTGGCTCAAGACCTCGACCTTTAAACTTGGTCCTGGCTCGTCTTTTCTTTCCCCCCGCGCCCGACGGTGTGGTACACATCTCTCCCGCTGGAACAATGTAGGCAGGGGGGCTGTGGGCGAGCCTACATGTACGTGCATGTAAGGACACACCGTACCTTAGCCACCTGTGGGTGTTAAACTCGCGTTTACCATCTCCCCCAGCAGGCAGTCCTCCAAGCTTTGTTAGTATAGTGGTCTATGCACCTGCTTAGTTAACCTACCAATTATGACGACAGCAGGTAACTGGGTTCGATTCCCTGACAAAGCCAATTTCAAATCTTTTTTTTTTCTCTTTCTCTTTTTAGCCCGTTTTTTCCCCTTCTTTTTTTTTTTTTTACCCAGTCTGAGAGATTTCTTTTAGTAGGCGGCAGGGGGGCTGTGGGCAAGCCTACATATACATGCATGTAAGAACACACCGTACCTTAGCCACCTGTGGGTATTAAACTCGCGTTTACAATCTCCCCCAGCAGGCAGTCCTCCAAGCTTTGTTAGTATAGTGGTCTATGCACCTGCTTAGTTAACCTACCAATTATGACGACAGCAGGTTACTGGGTTCGATTCCCTGACAAAGCCAATTTCAAATCTTTTTTTTCTTCTCTTTCTCTTTTTAGCCCATTTTTTCCCTTCTTCTTTTTCTTTCCTTTACCCAGTCTGAGAGATTTTTTTTAGTAGGCGGCAGGGGGACTGTGGGCAAGCCTACATGTACATGCATGTAAGAACACACCGTACCTTAGCCACCTGTGGGTGTTAAACTCGCGTTCACCATCTCCCCCAGCAGGCAGTCCTCCAAGCTTTGTTAGTATAGTGGTCTATGCACCTGCTTAGTTAACCTACCAATTATGACGACAGCAGGTTACTGGGTTCGATTCCCTGACAAAGCCAATTTCAAATCTTTTTTTCTTTCTCTTTCTCTTTTTAGCCCGTTTTTTCCCTTCTTCTTTTTTTTTTTTTTACCCAGTCTGAGAGATTTTTTTTAGTAGGCAGGAAGCTAATAGGGAGCCTGTTGCTTTGGGTACTTGACCCAAGTCTACGAGCTCTTACATCCATCACAGCCGCCACTATCTTGCCAAAATCGTGCGTGGAGCCCCCCCGGGTTGCTGCTGAACAGAGCGAGTGATATCCCATGACGCACTCCTCAACGTTGCAACCCAACCCAAACCGATCCACTCTCGCCCCCGACAACCATGTTAATCTAGTAACTCTGTGTTTTTCTTTATGGCAAAACGTACATGGCGCTGTAGTGTTATGTAGCAGCACGCCATGGCTGAACAGAACAAGTACATGTGCGGTCTACAGTCTACAGTCTACGTGTGCTTCACCTTCACGTAGGTTCGGTCCATACCCGGAAGATGCGATATATTGACAAGCGCTCACCCACTACATACTACACCACTAGCTAGCTAGAGGGGTTGCACACGGCATACATGGAAGCATAGCCCATCGGGGGCAAAGTATCAATTATAGTATGCAGTGTCCATCGACTAGAAGCAGTAAATAGTTTAGCCATTACATACGATATACAGCCAGGCCGGGTTCATTCCCCGGGGTGGCTGGCTGGTTGTGGTGGTTGTGGTGGTAGGGGCGGTCAAGCTGTTGCATTCGAGACCCTTGTGGAAGTATAGGAAAGAAGATGCAGTATGTAGTGCACACAGAACAGAACAGAACCGGACCGGACCGGACCTCCTCCTCTTGCTCCTCCGGGACGAAAAGCACAATGAGAAAGAAGCAAGAAACCAGTCCATGAGTACTCCCAAAGCCACTGAAGCAAGCAAGCAAAGAAAAACAAAAAACGCCGCACCACCACCACCACCCCACAAAAAGCGCACCAATCTTTTCAAAAACGCCGTCCTTCTAACCAACCCACCCAGGAAGCACCGACCAAACAAACAAACAAACAAACAAGCCACCCTACGCCCCCCCCTGCCCCATCCCAGCCCCAGCATCAGCCGCCACCGCCGCCCCCCCAAACTCCGCCACCCGCTTCAGCAGCGCCATCCTTCCCGCCGCCGCCGTCAGCCGCCACCCACCCGCGACGCAACAGGGGGAAAAGAAAAAAAGACCACTCACCTCTCCTTGTACAGCGCCTCCAGCTCGAGCATGCTGCCGCCCGCCTTCGCCTTGGCCGGCGCCTCGGTGCCCTCCACCGTGAGCATCAGGCCGCCGCCGGCCGTCTCGCCGGCCCACTGCGGCGCTGCCGCAACCTTGACGCCAAGCACCTGCCAGTCGCGGCTGAGGCTGCGGGCGGTGACGGCGGCGGCGCCGGTGACGTCGACGATGATGACGCGGTCGCGGTCGCGGTCGCGGTTGTCGTGGGGGGGGGGTGGTGGGTCGAGTGGGTCGGTGTCGTCGTCGGAGAAGATGTAGTGCACGATGGGGTGCTTGTGGGAGGTTGTGTGCGGGCTGCTGATGAGCGTGAAGAAGGGGGAGAAGGGGGGTGGGGGCGGCGGCGGCGGGGGGTAGTGTGTTTGCGGGGTGGGGGTGGGCGTGGAGTGTGGGGAGGGGGGGATGAAGGGGGGGGTTTGGTGCGGGGAGGTCATTGTTTGTGGGGTGGGGGGGGGTGTTGTGTGTCTGGCGGGGAGGGGGGGGGGTTGTGTGTCTGGGGGGGAGAAGGTAAAGGCACTGTATGTACAGAGAGGTCAAGTCAACTTGGGTGAGGGAAGGCAGCGCGTCACGTGAGCCAAGAGCACGCGAGGTGAGCCACAGGGGTGTGTGTGTGTGTGTTAGTCTAAAGTAAGTTAGTCTCGTTCCCAGAGTAACAGAAGTAAACACGAGACTCTGCCTCCATTATTAAATATTACAAGTGCGAGTGAGAGCGTGTGTCTGCCCTCCCAAGTCTATCATAGCTACAGACGACAGGCAAGCACAGCGCCAGGACAGACGAAAAAAAGACCTGTTTGAAGCCAAATCCTCCCCCCCAATTCCTATCTCCTTTCCTATTCCCGTTCCTATTGCCATTCCCATCCCATTGCCACTCCCATCCCCGTTCCCATTCCAGCCTAACCCTCAGCAACCTCAAACTTCCGACGGCACATGGGACACAAGCCCCTCGAGCTCTCGGTCGAGATCCAGTCGTTGACGCAATGCTATATATCCACCGTTAGCACTCCCGCCGTCTTTCTTTTTTTTTTTTCCACCGTCGCCATCTCCATCTCCCCATCTCTGTCGCCGGGTGGGTGATCTAGATGCACACACATACCAGATGAAACGAATGCCCACACTTCCCGACCACTACCACTCTTCAATCAGCACCAGCACCAGCGCCCACCGCTGAAAATAAACAAGAAACACTCACACAGCGGACAATCATCCCCCGGGAACCTACAGTTTGGACACGTGCCGTCAAACTGGACGCGACAGATGCCGCACACGTCGTCCTCGGGCACGTCCCAGCGCCACGAAGCGACGGCGTTCCACGTCTTGATCCTGACCTTCATGTTTTTTTTGTTTTTTTTGGGGGGGGGGGGCGGGGAGACGCGTTGGGGGGGGGGGGTTCTTTTTCTTGGTGGTGGTTGTGGTTGTTGTGGTGAGGCTGTGGGGCTGTGGGGCTGTTTGATGGGGTTTGATGGGTGAGGCGTTGCGGGGGGGTTGTGGGGGAGGGAGGGGTTAGTGGGGCTTGGCGATGTAGGAGCTGGAGCGGGGCGGAGGTGCAGGTGCAGGTGCAGTTGGTGTGGGGGTGAAGGGACGACATCCGACACCACATCGCAGCTACATACGTACATACAGACAGACATAAACACCAGCCGTCATCGATCGAGCGTTTGGAAATTGCGACTGAGGAACTTCACTGACCGACAGCTGCTAGTAGAGAGTGCAGGTGTGTTCTCAATCCGCATTTCCAGTACCTACATCCTCAGTCAACCTTACATCTATCCAAACACCGCCCACTAACCCCCCCCCCCCCCACAGCATCAATGCCCCTCACCACCCGCCTCACCACCCGTCTCCTCTCCACCACCACAACCACAACCACAATGTCCCGCCCCTTCAGCACCTACACCATCCCCCCGCGCGCCCTCGCCAGCGCCCTCGCCGCCAACCCCTCCCCCACCTCCCGCGCCCCCCGCACCATCCCCCTCTGCGCATCGTGGTTCCTGCCCACCTCCCCCCACACCGGCGCCGCCGTCTTCGCCTCTGCCCGCATCCCCAGCGCGCGCTTCTTCGACCTCGACGCCATCAAGCACCCGTCCTCGCCCTACCCGCACATGCTGCCCACGCCCCCGGTCTTCAGCGCCGCAATGGGCAGGCTGGGGGTCACAAAGGCGGACACGCTCGTCGTGTACGACTCGGCCGAGCTCGGCATCTTCAGCGCGCCCAGGGCCGCGTGGACGCTCAAGGTGTTTGGCCACGAGAGGGTGCATGTGCTCGACAGCTTCAAGGCGTGGGTGCGCGAGGGGCTGCCCGTCGAGGGCGGCGAGGCGGTGGCGGTGGCCGAGACGGTGTATGGCGATGTGGTGATGGAGGAGGGCCTGGTGGCCGGGTTCGAGGACGTCAGGGAGTGGGCGCTGCGCGGGGACCGCGCGAAGGTGCAGGTGGTGGATGCGAGGCCCAATGGAAGGTTTAGGGGCGTGGATCCGGAGCCGAGGCCAGGTAAGGCGGCCAATTAGCTGGGCTGGCGTTCTACACGTGCTCACTCAACTCATTTCACTCATTTCACTCACTCACTCACTCACTCACCCACTCACCCACTCATGTTGCTGCTGTGATACACGCTGATGGTGGTGGGAGGCGGGGTGTAGGGCTGTCGTCCGGTCATGTCCCCGGCTCCATCTCGGTGCCGTTTAGTAAGCTCGTCGACCCCGCGACGGGGAATCTCCTGGCCGCGGCGGAGCTTCGAAAGGTGCTGGTAGACGCGGGCGTGAGTGAGGATGAGGGCGTGGAGAAGGTGCTGATGTGCGGGACAGGGGTGACGGCCGTGGTGGTGGACACGGCGCTGGAGATGGCGGGCATTGGCGGGAAGAGGAGGGTGTATGACGGCAGTTGGACGTGAGTACCCTAGCTCTGTTTCTTCATCTTTTGGGGGTTCGGTTTCGGGGGGGGGGGGGGGGGGTGGCTGGGAGCTTTTGGAGGAGGGCCTTGCCGGGTGGGAACGAGTGGTTGTGGCTTCGAGGGCTCTTTACTATCGCGTTCTACTACATGCATTCTACTCATGCTCATGCTCGTGCTCACGGGGAGGTGCAAGAGTAAGTGCAAGTGCAAGAGTAACATCAATGGCAGAGAACCCTCAAGGCCCGAATGACCACCGGGCCATCCCGTGAAGGCACAGGTCTAGAAGAGTTCCGGGGATGAGTATTTCGCTAGGCAGGAATCGAGCGGGGGGTTTTCCCCCCACTTCTCCATTCTTTGACTACATCATCTGCTCTCTTACTCCCGGGGGCCTTCCTTTGCCTTCCCCCCTCCTTTCCTTGCATTGGATTGCATTCCTCCTCCTCCTCCTCCAGGCAGGCAGCAGTTGGGACAGTCAGCCAGGCAGCCTGCTTGCTTGCTGGCTGCCTATCCTATCACAACCCTATCCCATAGCTTCTACACCCATACCCCACCCCCACCTCCGCGACCCCCACTCCCGGCCAATGCCTTGTACCTGTGTACCTGTCCCTGTCCGTGCACCTGTCCCTGCCCCTGCCTGCACCCTATCCGGCAGCCTGCCCGCACGCACGCACGCACGCAGTATACCCCCTTCCATCGCGCTCAACCCTCCCCGGTCCCGGTCCGCGCGATGACTGCCTCCCCCTTTCTCTCTCTCTCTTTCTCTCTATCTATCTATCTATCTATCTATCTACCCATCTCCACAATGCTGTGTTGTGTGCCTCCATCTCGACACGGCTGCAGATGAGTCACAGCCCATCACGCGGTTCCACACGTTGCCGAGGCTGACACTAAATAT